ATTGCTTACATGCATAGGACTTCTCCCCAGTGTGAATTCTTTCATGTACAAGAAGGGTAGCTTTACAGCTAAATGCTTTTCCACATTGCTTACATGCATAGGTTTCTCCCCAGTGTGAATTTTTTCATGACATTGAAGGTTATTGTGTACTGTGAATGCTTTTCCACACTGATCACACACATGGGGTTTCTCCCCACTGTGAATTCTTTCATGTACTAGAAGGTGACCATTTTGGCTGAATGCTTTGCCACAATGCTTACGTACATAAGATTTCTCCCCATTGTGAGTTCTTTTATGACGTTGAAAGTGACTATATATCCTGAACGCTTTCCCACATTGCTCGCATGCATGGTGTTTCTCCTCAGTGTAAATTCTTTCTTGAGGCGACAGTTATTGTGGGCACTGAATTCTTTCTCACATTGCTTACATACATAGGATTTCTCCCCAGTGTGAATTCTTTCATGTACTCGAAAGTTACCACTTTGGCTGAATGCTTTCCCACATTGCTTACGTTCATATTTTTTCTCCCCCATGTGGGATGTTCTATAACTATAAAATGAGGACTTATCAATAAATCCTTTTCCAAATTGCTCACACATGTTCTGTGTCTCCTTAGTGTGAAGATTTTTGTGTTTTGGAAAGGAACTCCTAAGAGCTAATGCTTTTATACCTTGCTTGATTACATAGGGTTTCTCTTCAGCATGTCTTGTTTTAAAATTTTGAATAAGGTATGAAGAAAGAAAACTATTCTTATAGTGTTTGTATACAGATAGGCCTCCCAATATATGATTTCTTTTATGGATTTGAACACCAGTAGATGTTGTGGAGGCTTTCACACTTTTCTTACCTAGAAATGTTTTCTCGCTATGGTTAGTTCGTTCACTAAGATCAGAGTTTTCCTCCCTGCATTGCCCATATTGATAGGATTTCTCTCCAGTCTTTCTCATTTCATGGTCCTGAAAGGACTGGAAATCTCTGCAGGTTTTTCCATGTTCATTACATTTATGCAGCTTCTCTTCAAATTTCAAATGATGGTCTGCATCATATCTTAAATTTCTTGAGCAATTTTTGTCCTCTTCTCCAATTTTCTCTTTATCCCATTTTCTTTCTATAGCATGAACATTCCTAAGTGTTTCCCACATCACACCTCTGTAGAGCTTCTTTTGGGATAGATTCAGCAAAACCCACTCTGCCGAGGGGAAGTTCACAGCTACGTCCTCAAAGGTCACTGTCTCTTAACAGTTAGATTCTTGAATCTGGTTTTCTAAATCTGTAACTCCTGCTGTTCACCGTGTTTCTCTTGATCAATCTTGCATTCTTATATCTGGTAATCTGAGCAACTCCGCTGAAGATAACAATATGTAATATAACAACCACTGCTAATCCCTATCATTTTGTTCTGAAACCCTTATCATTTTTAATGTTTTGGCTTTGTTTTGTTTTTGTCTGTGATGTTGGTATTTTGCTATTGTTCTTTTTTTACTATTCTCTTTAAAATAAACAAAAAGGTACAGCAATCTTTCCAGAGTTTCTTTTCTAGTTCTCCTTGCAGCCAAAGTCTTGCTAGCCAGGATGGCTCAGATTATACACTCAGGGTTGTAGAAAATTAAATGCAGAACAAACAGCAGGTAGAGTTTGCATACTTGACGATTTTTGAAAACCAACTTTTACAGTTGTTACTCTCTTGATACTTTGTTTCACAGTTTAGAAGAAAAAGTCTTATTTTTTCTTTCATTCAGATGAAACTGTGTTATTAAGGTATCATAAATCCTTTGGAATATTTGGTTTATTCATTTGGTAGCATTAAACTCAACAGACATTTGACTCCCTCACATTTAATATTTGTCTGTTATTTTTAGGAGACTGCTGCAGTGCTGAATATCATGTGCTACCCACGGGTGGCATGGGTAGGAGTGCTGCTGCTCTATGTCAGGGCCATTCAGCCAGTCCTCAAGCCAGCAATGCCTCCAGTGATCAAGAACCATCCTTTCAACATTTTCTGGGCTGCCCCAACAATGTACTGTTCGCATTTCTTCGAAGTTGACATGAATCTTCAAGTATTTAACATTATAACAAATCCTTTTGAGACTCAGAGTGGATCAACGATTGCCATCTTTTATCCAAATGAATTGGGATATTATCCTTATTTCTCTCAAGAAGGAAAATCATTCAGTGGTGGAATACCGCAGAGTATGAGCCTTTCTGCTCACCTTAGGAAAGCTGCTTCTGATATTGCAAGAGCTGTTCCTTGGTGGCAATCAGAAGGACTTGTTATTATTGACTGGGAAAATTGGAAGCCCCAGTGGGTTAGAAACTGGGGCAGCAGAATAATATATAAAGACCACTCGTTAGCCTTCACTAGAGACCACCATCCTGACTGGTCAGAAGCAAAGGTGGAAGCCGTTGCCCAGCAGGAATTTGAAAATGCTGGAAGGAGTTTCATGAATGTTACTCTCACGCTGGCTTTAGAAATGAGACCAAAACGCTTATGGGGCTTTTATCTCTATCCAGATTGCTATAATTATGATTATGGAGTAAATCCAGTGTTTTACACAGGCAATTGCCCAAATGAAGAAATCGTCCTCAATGATCAACTTTTGTGGCTGTGGAAAAAAAGCACAGCGCTTTATCCTTCGATATATTTGGATAAAATATTGAAGTCAAGCTTAAATGCATTGAAATTTGTCCATTATCGAGTTAGAGAAGCCCTGAGAATTGCTGAAATGGCTAGATCTGACTACGTTTTGCCAGTTTTTATTTTTTCCAGACCATTTTACTTGAATAGTATTGAAACTCTGTCAGAGGTAAGTTCCTCACATTAAAAAAAATGGACATTTAGTGGAAAGTTGTAAAAAGTCTAGAAAGAAATGTTGTAGAAAACTTATTTCCCTTTAATAATGTAATACTAGTAATAGAATATAGTAATTACATGATATCATATTAATATATTAATATAATAGGATAGTATTATATTATGAAAGGTATATATTTCTTCAAATATCAACCTAATTCTGAAACAATCTTACTGGCAATTAAATCTGTACTTAGAGCTTTTAGATGATGAGTTTTACCAAGTCAGAATTCATAAGGATTTTCTAAAGAAGAATTGTTAAACTGGAGTTAAAAAATGTAATAAATGGATTAATTTTAACCAGGGAGAGATTTCTTGATACGAAAGCACAGCAGCAATTTTTGAATTCAGAAACGTAAAATGGAGCTTATGATAAATTATTAACCAATTACATTTTTCCTTTTATTGTATTTTCTGTTTTAGTTTATTACATTAACAGGAAAAAATAGCATAGACTCTATTGCTTCTTTCTTTAAGAGTCTACAATACGACCTAGTAGTGTTCAGGGATTAAAGGTGGTTTATATGCACAGATACTGTCTTCAGGCTTGACTCAGAGTAGGAGGCACAGAGATATGTAGAAATAAACTTTTCTAGAAGATAATGAGTTTGTAGATGCTGGAAGTGCTCTAGCTTTAGCTAGATTGTTACATTATGAAAAGAATGTAATCATTAGCTGAGTGGCTACAAAAGAAAACCTTTAAATTTCCATCCACACTTGAGCCAACCCTTCTGTTACTTCAGTTCTCAACATAAACATAGGGATGTTGAATAGACAACACACAGTTCCTTTCCTTGACCACTATGTTTCAGATAAGGGCATTTTAAAACAACAGTCATCCTTCCTAAACTACTTCAGAATGAAATCTATTGGCATGAATATTATGGAATAGAACAGATAGTTATTAATCATGGCAAGACTGCTAAATAATGAAGTATTTATTCAATAAGTTTAGGAGAAAAAGAATAGTAGCATCACAGCAAATATTGAAGAAATTTTAGCAATATCCAATCCATAACCAGCTCATACATGAATCCTTTTTAGTGTGCTTCCCCCTTTTAGCACTTTTTCATGAGGCACTTTCTGTATCAAAAAAGAAATTCCAGTTTTGGATAGTACTATTTTCTAGGAAGTTTTTTAACATGTTGAATTTACTTTGCCTCTGAATAATTTCATATTACTAATTCTAATTCTACCTTCTGGTGTATCATAGAATAAGTTAAACCCTTCTTTTAAAAACCAGTCCTGGCTGGGGATTTAGCTCAGCGGCAAAAGCACCTGCCTGGCATGCGCAAGGTCGTGAGTTCAGTTCCTGGTACCGGAGAAAAACCAAAAAAAAATAAATAAATAAAATAAAAATAAAAACCAGTCCTTTGGATAGTCTCAGACATTAGTCATGCCTTCTACAGATTTCTCACTAAGGTATTGTGCAAGTGAATGATCTCTCAAATCATGTCATGTTTTCAAATGCTTTTGGGAAAAAGACTATGGTATATTTATTCATTCAAAATTATTTATCAAATGCCTACAGTGTGTTAGAAATGTTAATTCTAACAGTAGAAAATAATAATTATCCTTCTGGTCAAATAGTTCATTAGCTAGAAAAAAAGGGCCACATTTTTTCATGACTGCCTTAATATCTTTTTCATTCTTTATACTACTAGATTTTTTAAGTAAAATCTGAGTTATCATCTTTGAACTGTACTTCATAATGCAATAGACAACATGTTCTCATCAAAAAAGGATAAAATTACTTGAGCATTACTTTAAAATATTTTCATAACTTTCTATATCCTTTGATGGTTTGAAAATCTATAAACAGCATAGATTTTTTTCACCTTTCAATTGTCTAAGCAACATAAAACCTCAGTGCATTTTTAAATCCAGCTCTCCTTGTCTTTTCTTTCAAAAGCGTCTCAACTTAAATAGAGATTTGATTTATGTTTAAGGAATATAATACAGTACTAGTTAGTATGATGAAAGAATAATTTCCGTTCCTTGTATTAGACAAATTGTAGAACATGAGTAGTAGGATAGCTTAGCATCCTCAACTAGAAAATCCAAAATCTAAAGTTCTCCCAAATCTGAAATTTTTTGAGCACTGACATAATGGTGCAAGTGGAAAATTCCACACCTGCATTTAAGTTGCAGTTAAAACATGGGCACATGAAAAATATTAGACAAAATGATCTTCAGCCTGTGCATATAAGGTTTATATGGAGCAGAAACAAATTTTGTGTTTACACTTGATTCTTCTTATGGTTTAATCTGAAAAATTCTCCCAAAAATTCATGCATTGGGAAGATGATGGATCACTGGGGGACATACTCCTCAGCATCTTCACCCACTGACTAGAGTTCAGAACCTGCATGTTCTTTTAGGAGGTGGGGCTGGCTGCAGGTGGGGCACTGTGGGAGTGATCTGGAAGGGTGTGTGTTGGTCCCCAGCTCTTCTCTCCCTCTCTGCTTCCTGGGCACCACGGGTGAGGACCTTGTCCTCTTCCAGGCCCCTCTACCATGTTGTTTCTGCCTCGGAGCCCCTGACCATGGTCTAAAACCGTGAGACAAAATAACCTCTTTTCTTTTAAACTGTAGGTGTCGGGTATCTGGTCCCAGGGATGGGAAAGTGACTATTAGAGGTCACATCCCCACATATCTCACTGTCTGCATGTAGATATTCCAGTCTGAAAGAACATGAGAATCTGAAATGCTGAACACGTCTGCTTCTGTGGATTTCAGCCACTGTTACCGGAACTATTCTCTGTGTAGGAAAGCTTTGTGGCGACATTGGCGTTCACTCATTCCAGCCTTTGAACCCTTCACTTTGGCACTGAATTTCTAGTACTGCTTAGGGAAAGGAACAGTGCAGATTATACCTCTTTATCTATCAACTTGAGAGTCACCTGGATGTCTCCTTTCTCCTCTGTTCATTATTTCTTAGGTAATTAAAAATTACCCAGCTCAATTTCCAAGTAACTCTCCAATCTTTCCCCTCTTTGAAAAACTGACACACTTTCTTTGTTCCTTATCATTTCTTACTGAACACTGTCTATCATCTCCCAACTGGTGCCTCTGACTATACCATCTTAACATTTTTTTATAATGCATTAGATTATATATCTACTAAAATGGCTTCTCAGTGCTGAATGTTATTTGCATTCTGTCTATGAGCAAGGGCGTATATACTTTTACTTCTCCCCCAAACCCCATGTGCCTTACCACAAGAAGTTCCTGGGTGTTCTCTGCGTGGACCATGTTTGTATCTGCATATGAGCCCCTGCCCTTGGTCTTCCTTTGGGAAATGAAACTCATTCTTGGATATTTATTTGAAATTTCACCTCTAAACATCATTCTAAAGAATGACAACAGGAATGGGAGTTTAAATAATTTTCATTTTTATATCCCCAGGGCCTAGAATGTTGCCTTAAAATCATATTTATCAAATAAACTAGGCAGGCAAGGCAGAATAGCCTTTTCCAAGTTTCCTAGTCTTTTGTTTTAGAGACAAAGATACAATT